ATTACAAGTAGTTATGATCATGAATAAAATCCGTCCCCATCCACCCCACTTTGATTAAAAATAAAAATAATAATAATAAAGGAAAGGACATCGCATTACCTTGATTGACTATTGTTTTGTAGGTATACTATGGTGCCAGCTTCATTGTACCTTGGATTTACTGCTTCAATAATATGGGTTGCACAGGTGCAATTTCAGATTTATTATGACTCCGAATGTTGATCCGTTGCTCTTCATGAAAAAATACGTACCTTGTTCATTTTTTGCTTTACTAGGGAACATACCTTACATCAACTGCACGCGGTCACGCATTGGATAATGACTTGCCTGAAGGAACTGTTATTGGTAAATTCAATGGCGAATTTTGGGGGATGTTTGCTAGCCATCAGGTAACGTTGTTGGAGTTCCTAAACTCAAATCTCTATCAGTTTTTTGAGTTTTGAGTTTGTGTAACATAAAGTCACTTTGCATGTGAAACTTACAGTTTGTTGGGAATCTCATCACTCTTGCTTTGTTGAGAGGCGGAAAGGTACGCGAATAAGTTGTTTTGTAGGCCATGTTACTGTTACAAGTCCTTTTTCATTTCATTAGCTTATTGCTATACCATTTCTTCATTAATCTTAAGATTGTTTCCAATTGAAGCTTTGGTCAGAGAGCATTTGCATGGATGTTTAGAAAATTATAATATGCTGTTTCCTTGATTTCAAATGGATGTTACGTGCTTACTGGCAGGAGATGATGTGCCAAACCGTCAGTTGTTTGTCAAATGACTGGTTTGGGTTTTTCACGTTTTCAGTGCATTCAGAATAAGTGTTCATGATCTGTTATTTTTACTGCAGGGAGGGAGTACCACTAGCACAACTTCACTGTTCATTGTATTTCTGTGTATCATGACCATAGGTACCATCCTTATGTGCTTCTTAAGTAACAGAAGTGCCACAGAGAAAGAGGAGGAACAAGACTCTTCGGTTAGTTTCTGTTATTCAGTGGTGTCCTTGTTTAAGGCTGTCCTGGCTCTTTTACTTGACATAAGAATTCTCTTAGTCATCCCTCTCATCGCGTACTCAGGCTTTCAACAATCATTTGTGTGGTAAATGAATAACCCGATTATGCTGCTGTAATCCTTCCATTTCCATTCAGTTTTTCTTGGATGGAACTTATTATTTCTCTTTCTATTACTCCTGTTGAGCTCAGAAATACTTCTATTTCAGGGCTGCATTCACAAAGCATGTGGTTCAACCTACATTGGGTGAGCGCGGTGTTGGTGGTGTGATGGCAGTCTATGGAGTCTTTGATGCAGTTGTGAGTATGCAGATGCCGATATAACAAGGCTCAAATTTGATGTTATGATCTGTAGATGTTATTTTCTACTCGTCATGCTTTAGTTGAGCACCAAACTAATTCTCTGCCATAAAAATCAGTCATTTGGAGGAGTTTCTACAACTACGTTACTGCTTAGCATGCTTTGTGGCTTCAATGAGATATACAATTCCAATGCCTTTCTTATTTCTAATTATGCTAGACATGTGCCTAAAAGTTATGTTTACTGTAGCATATAATAATTTTGATGTTTTTAGCTTAATACATGCTATAGTTTCTTAATGCTCTCTAATAAGAGTGGTTGAAATCTTTTTCAGTGTTCGCTTGCTGCTGGTCAACTTACATCTGGTCTTTCGACAATTACCGTAATAGTTCTTAGTGGGGCTTTCATTCAGACTATTGCATTCCTGTTGCTTTTTGTGCACTATAGGTCTGCTCCTGCTATTGCTGCTATTGCACCTTGTTCTTTTGCGGAAGCTGATGTTCTGTGCTCATGTAATTGATTCTCTCGATCTTATAATTGCTTTTTGGTCTCTGATGTAGCATGCTTCATGGAGTAGTTGGCCTTTTATATCCTTTCCTGATAGCTGCCTTGTTGGGTGTTGGTGATGGAGTTCTTAATACACAGCTCAGTGCATTTCTTGGGATTATTTTCAAGCATAATCTGGTAATGATTTTCTTCATCTGATGCTAAGCTGGCAATTTTCATGGTCTTATCATATGATGAAGACAATTCTTTTTAGATATTTACGAATTAGCGCATACCTAGTCTGTGATAAGATGGTGACTTTCCATTTGCCACTGAGTATGAGCTTGTAAAACTTATTCACTTGATCAGAGTGTTTTGCAACCCAAATTTTTCTGGATTTTTCCAAGAATTAGAGCTGACTCTTCCATTCTCGTTCAAATGTGAAGTCTTTAGTATTTTTCTGCTAGGAAGTATTCAATCTGTAGTAGAACAACTTGGTTACACTTCTGGGATTCAACACCGGGAAGCATACATACTGAGAGCAGTAAGGATAAAAGCCAGATGGAGTGCAGTTTACATGGGTTAGCAATAAACTTAAAGTAGACTAGTGCTAAAGGCACACGCGATGTGTGTGCAACTTAAAATGCATGAACGTTTTCTGCAAATTATTGATTGTAATTTTGGTAGTTGCAATGTTTGGAGGCAATTATGTTGTTAACATTTGTTTAGATGGTTAAGGTTAACAAATGGTTACGGGTGATTATCTTGACAACATTTGTTTAGGTAGTTAAGTATTGAGTAATTTTTATAAGGGTGAAAGTGGAAGTTATATAAAGTGATAACAATTGTTTACCCCAAACCTCCGTCTCTCCCTTAACATATAGTATAGATATAGATATACTTGTCACAATAGTAACCCTTTGGCCTTCCATAGGGAACCCCTCACTCCTCACCCCCACCCCCCCTTTTCTCCCAAAAAAAAAAAAGGATAGCAAAAGAGTCATGATTGAGTTCTCTCCTTGGCGTAGCTACTTTTGATTGAGTTACAAAAGGTTATCAAATTGGCTTTGGCCCAATCAAGTCTTAGCTCTGTCGTTTCATTTTTCTTAATCTAAAATGATTTGGATTGTTCTGGAATATTCTCGATCATTTTTGTCTTTTTGAACTTTGAATGCTGGATTAGTCAGAAACGGTCTTCATGTCTTGGTTCATGAATCTTTTCTTCTAAGATGTCAGAGCATTCTCATTGGCTTGATAGTTGCCAGCACTCTGCTGAACTGCTCGTGTGCTGAATTTCTTATGGTGCAGCAAATATCTAATGTCTTGCTCTTGTGCAGGAAGGGGCATTTGCACAGCTTAAGTTCTGGCAGAGTCTATCAATTGCAATTCTGTTTTTCATGAGCCCCCACATTGCACTCCACATAATTGTAGTAATCATACTTGTCATACTCTGCTTCTCGGTGGCTGCGTTTCTCTTCCTTATACTCAAGGTAGAAAGAGCTTTTTCCTTCCGCACTGCTGCTTAATTTTTTAAGAAGATGGTTGCGGGCTTGTTGCTGAGGATATCATGTATCAGCCCCTTTTGAAGTTCATCTTCCATCTCTTGGAAAAGTTGCAGAGAGTTGTAGTAGGATATGCTTGCTTCTCGGAGTACTTCAGGATGTGGTTCTGCTGTCTGCCAATCGGGTTGATTTCAATCAAGTGAAAAACAGGCGTTTGGGGGGGCGATACTGGTTAGGAGGATTCCTAAGTCATGACTGTCTGCAAGATAAAATTGGTGTTCTTCTTCTATGTTTGTATCTGTAAACTGAATTTGAAAGACCTCAGAGCGAGGGAGCAGGGGTTGTGTGAGTGGTTGTTTGCTGTAATCTCTCTCTCTCTCTCCCTCGGTCTCGCTCTTTTCTTTTAACTTCGACTATCCATTTTGGTAGTGAAAAGAAATGTATTGTGGTTCATTTTATGACATGGGATTTCATTTGTTAGAATTCTGGAAAAACAGTCAGTTTCCATCTTTGCAGACAATCTGTTGAGGAAAGCTCAGTGGTGGTAAAAAATTATGAAGCGTTTTTAACAAGAGTGATTAAAAAGGGTAAAACAGAGAGGAAAGGAAACATGAACGCAAAGAGAAAAAGATGTGCCAAAAAAAAAGGAAAAGATGTCGTAGACATATACCTGATTATTATCTGGGTAATCAAGTGAGCAGGATTTGAAAACAGATCATTTTTTCTATTACCTTCTTGGACCTGTGCAAATTGCAAATCTGCTCCAGCCCTATAGTTAATAGTTAATAGGCAATGGTGCCGCGTTCACCAGAATAACCAATTCTCGGTTATGTTGTAGCTCTCCTAACACAAACCAACAAACCAACAAAAGTCTGTCTGATTAGAGAATTAAAGAGGAGTTAGTCGACAGTTATTTTCTCTTGTTTCACTTTAAGACGTTTTGAACGACAAACCAAACTACTCGAAAGTAGTTGAGATTAGGTCCAATCCATTAGCCCAATACTTTCAGGGGTCGGGCATCCATCTCCATCTATCTATTCACAATGTGTGTGTATTGAAATAAGGAAACTGAGCAGCAGATAAATCATCCCAAGAAGTTCATCCGCAGTGTTCTTTTAGTACAGGACAGGATGAGTTTTACTTTCACATTGTGGAAGGCAATGCTGCAAAGGCTTTCTCCGCGGTGGCCTCTACTGCTCTATGCCGCAACGTGGACCACAATCCTGACCATAATAGTGGCGGTGGCGTCCTTCTCCCCTGAGTTGGCTTTTGTTTCTGCGGTAAATCCCACTTCTTCCTTCTCTCAGGCCTGTCGACTTCAACGACAACAAGATCAAAGGCAAGGAGGGCCTACGACGGTTAGAGTTCCGGTCGACGTTCCCGGGGAACTTTTCTGCCTGCCGGCTCATTTTTTCAAAAGGTCTAAAATGGACTTGCTGGTCCCCCCGGTTTTCGCAGCGGTAGTTGTAGCTACCTCCGCTTACGTAGTTAAGGCTTTGGCTTTATGGGAGATGGAAGATCCCCGAGACTAGGCCACGTACTTAGCTTGGGTATGGACCATGTACGGTCTCTGCACTCTGCATCCTTCGGATCCCAGGTTATTATTTACAGAGGATTAGTCGTAACGCATGCAGGTCCCTTTTCTTTTCATTAGTATTTTCTTTCAGCAGCGAAAAGCAAAGAACAGATAGCTACGTGCCAATCAGTGCAATGTAAGAATTTTTTTCTAATAGATCATCATTTTTTGGTTCAGAGGGGGAGAGATTCGATGTCGTCTGCAGGACTTGCAAACAAATGAAATTCTTTGTATCATAGTGGGGTATGGTTTCATCGACCACTTCAACGACCAAGTAAAACTTTCTACCTGTACTTAATTTCTCATCTTACTCTCAAACAGGCAGCCAGATTAGCTAGCTACATGGTGTACAAATGATTGATATAGGACCAAACTAGGAAATACAGTAGTAGTAGTACTAGTATATTTCATCAGTTTTGAGCCGCTGCATTCACCAACTTGTCGCTGAAGTCCCACAATCTCTTGGCTAAAGCTTTATCTCTTGCCAACTTGCTCGGTGGAAACTCATTGCAATCAAGAAAGTATTTTCCAGTCACACCTTGCAAACTCGGGTGGAGTGCAACATAGCATGTTGTGGCTGCCCCCTGCAAAGCGAAAACCCAAGCTGAAATTTTTATGCTTTACAAAACTTCTACCAGTAAATGAATGGACCACCAGACTGGTAGAGAGAATGGGATCTAGTCTCGCAAAGAGCTGCTCCGGGTAGGCAGTGGTTTCGTGCCCTTCCAGATGGGTTCTTTATACACAGTAGAGATGAAATTCCACCTTATCTAAACATGTATAATTCAGCAAACCTGACTAACTGCGTTCAATTTTAGGGTGTGAAACGCACCGATAAATTCTACTAAAGACCACTTTGTTATGTACAACAAGAAGCAATGGATCTCAATCTCAGGTGTTTCTTAATAACCCCATGTGCGTCCTTGAGAATCTTTGTGATTACTTTTGAAGGAAACTTCAGAAATGAGAAAAATGGAAAGCACAGAAACACCTGACTCTCTGTGTCTTAATCTAATTTGGAATGGGGGAAATCAAAACATTTAGTCAACCTCTCTATGCATTGATGTTTGCTGGATTTACCTGAGGCACATTCTTCCACAAGATAAAAGTGAACGCCTGCAAAACTCCTGCCAATGAACCTGAATTAATATCTGGAAAACAAAATAAGGCCGAAATGAAAATCCTCCTTGTGACATCAATACTTACTCATTAGCAGTGCAGAATGTCTCATGAGGTTAGTCATTATCAATCCTGGATGCACTGAATTGACCGTTATGTTCGCTCCCTCTTCCTGCCCATAGCAGAAGTTTGAAACATATTTGAGATGGAGAATCAGAAGTAGAAGGGCCACATGCTTTAAATCCCATTTTAGCTGCTGGACCAATGAATACACTTTGTTTGTTAAAGACCTTCAAATTTTAATGAACATTACTTTTTGCTCGCTCATCTTAAGAGTCTACTTGACTTCTACTAACCAGGAGGACGACATCAATATAGGACGTTACATCAGAGATGGGCAAATTACTTATTTTTTTTTCATGTTTTCTTAATTGATAATCGCAGTTTCCAAATGAGAGCATGACATTCTATACTCTTGACTTGTTTACCCAACAGAATGAAGAAACAAGCAGAACATGATTGTCACCACGTCTTTTTGCCTTCTACAGAACAATAAAAGTAACAGATACACACTTAGTGTAATGGTGGTTTTCTGAAATATAGACATAGAAGCATCAAGATCACCTGCAGACGTCGAGAGAGTTCATTGGCATGTAAAATGTTTGCTAGCTTGGATTGCCCGTAGGCCTTTTTGTCTGAGTAACTGGTATGAGGAGCATTACAGAGAATAGGAAGAACATGTAAAATTAGAATGGTGATCATTCTTTGCAAGAATAATGGGAAACAACCTGCACTCAACAGAATGCTGACGGGAGAAAACTGGCAAAGCACAAAACCTGTCTTTGTCGTTGATGCGATCAAATCGGATTCCTCCACGGTAAGTATGGACATGAGCCACGGATGACAAATTCACAATCCTACCCTCGATGCCTGTAGAATTTGCGGTGTGCTTCATTTTGTCAAGGAGAAGGTTCGTCAAGTAGAAATGACCTGAGAACAACCATTTACCCGACAAAAGAGATATGAGAGCGACAGTGACTAAATTTAGAAGCTGCTCGTTAGTTGATAAAAACACATACCAAGGTGATTAGTTGCAAATTGCATCTCTATTCCATCTTGAGAAAGCTGGTAGGGACAGAACATGACACCAGCATTGTTTCTGAAGATTCAATCATCTCATCTTTAGATTAGACTGAATAACTTCGACACTCTTCAAGTTTGACATCATTCAACAGGAATTTGCATATGAGAATACAGAAAAGATATATTAGGAGGGGAGAAAAGGAGATCACATTAGGATGTTGAGAGGAAGACCAAGGGCATAGAAGTCATCAGCAAAGGCCTTGATCGATTTGATCGAGCAAAGGTCGAGTTTTAGGACATCGACGCGAGCAGTTCCATTTTCCTTCACAATATTTTGCCTTGCCTCATTTGCAGCCTCAACATTTCTTGCAGCAATAACCACATGGGCTTTCCTCAGGGCCAACACTCTTGCTGTTTCAAAGCCTATCCCACTTGCACCGCCTGCACGATCTTGTCAACTGCATATCAATATACTGAGCCCAAAACACACACACAAAAAAAAAAAAAGAAGCTACAAGTTGCCAGGCGACATGATAAGAAAAGGGCATAAACTAGCATGATGCATGGCAGCTAAAATTTATTTAATTTTTTTTCTTCTCTGGGGAAAGAAAGGCAGCCCCCAATCCAACTTCCTTGAACGACGAGTGGGGATTAAAAAAATAATAAACAATTGAACCATCCAACCATCATGTCCTTTGTTCTTTTAGTCGTTGACTTTTTTTTCTTTTCTTTTTTTTTTTTTGATAGATCAACCATATGTCTTTTGCGCACACAAGAAGTGGTATCACAAACGCATGTCAGTCCTAATATGCAGTATAACATAAACGCAATGATGAAGAGTGCCACCACAAAAAAAAAAAAATTTTTCTTTTTTTAATGTATCAACTGGATATGAACGGGGCTCATCACCTGTAACGATAGCAGTGAGGTTGGAGGCATCAATCCCTTGCGTAACTTGTTCAGCAGTGGAAGCCGATCCGAAGCCACTCGGCCCTGGTATTCCCGTTATTAATCTAAACATCTTCCCACCCTAACAATCTATAATCAAGGAAAATGCTTTTCAAGCTAGTACCAGGTAGCGCCTGATTTCTTTTACACTGCATATAGCAAAGGCCTGGTTATATAGGATAGCAACCCGGGGAGTTATGGTGGGGTTGGGAGGTGAGGAGTTATGACTTGTGACTTTTATTTTTCTTTTGGTTGGGCCGCCGAGGGGGGGAGGGGGGTGTTGCGGGGGACTTGTGAGTTGTGACGATGTGTGTGTGTGTGTGTGTGTGTCCGTACGTGACATATACATATATATCTATACCTATATAGATTTACAGAGAGAGAGAGAGAGGGCGTAGAGGAAAATCCGTGGCTGAATGCATGAGTAGAAAGGGAAGGAAGCAAACAGAGCGAAAGAGAGATAAATATATATATATATGTGTGTATATGCGTACACGGCTAAGTAAAAATTCGGTGGTGATATAGGTGATAAATTTGGTTGTATTTACACTTGTGGAATACAGTCCTGGACACTGGACTCGGCATGCACGCATTTAATGCCCAGTTAGGCGTTGGTGGCTATCTCTAAATACTTCCACCAACTTTTCAACTGTACCTTACATTGTACAATCTTCAATCTTCAAGTAAAAATTGGACTTTGCATCAAGAAAAGGTAAATTGAACACACGAAAAAATGAACCACTCCACTTTTTATCATATTTCTCTTACACCTCTAGTTTGGTTGGTTCGCAGGTGTACCGTTTGCATTTTTTCTGAAAAACTGTGTACCGTTTTACTTGAACTAGATTGATTAAATTTCATGGTGTACTGCTACTATTTAATGAAATACTATGTCGTCTTTCCCAAAAAGATGCAAGGGAGTGAGTAGCTACGCAACTGCTGTATCTATAATGTATGTATGGTGCAATTCATGGTCCAGATGTATTTAATTTATAATTATATGATTGTGGTATACAACTTTTTTTTTTATTATTATTATTGTCCAATTTGTCATGTTTTTGTATATTAGTATTACTTTCGTGAGTCAGTAAACATACATTATAGTATATAGTGTAATTGAAATTGATAATTGCAAAAAATGGGGTCGGGATACAAAGGGCCTTTCTAGTCTCCAAAATAAAAAAATGAGACGTGTGGACAAAACTTTCTGTTGGCTCAGCATTATATTTTTGAGTAAATACTATATACACTGACAGTGCATGCACTGTGTCACCGTTGGATCCATGACACATATGTAAAAATTAAATTTTAGATTTAAATTTTATATAATTATCATTCATCTAATGTTGACAATATATACACTGTCAGTTTAGGAGAGATTAATCATATTCCCTCCGTCCCACTTTGATAGTCCTGTATTCCTTTTTCATCTGTCCCAAATTGTAGTCCACTTTCCAATTGAAAAATGTAATTGTATTTTAATTTTTCTTAAAATACCCTTATTCAATGTAAGTAGTTGTTACTATAAACCTACCTTATTTAAATGAGAGTTGATTCTTTTTTTACCATCAATTCAAGTTCCCATAAAGTTGTACCATATTTAATGTGAGGGTATTTTAGGAAAATAGCAATCTAAATTTACTTTTCCAACAAAGAAACAGGACTATCGTAGCAGCATTAGCTCACCAGGGACCGTTAGCTAGAAGCAGTTATATCTCTGCCGATAGCTTTAATTGCGTATTCATTATATTTGCCAGATTTACTCTTCAACTAATTTCGAGAGTTTCAGTTTTTGTCTTTAAAACAGAGCACATAACTATTTCATTCATTCTGTCCGTCATTCCTTCTAGCTATGCTCTTCTGGGCTTAAAACAACGGTAACGGCAACTGTTGGTGTTTTATCATCCCAAGTGATGGACTTGATTTACTGCTACTGCAGTAATGTACTGCCTATTTGAGGAAACCGCCCAAAAGCCTAGTAGATACAGCCTTCAAATCTTCCAATTTTTAAAGTTAGCGGAAGTGCAATTAGGACATATATATATATATATGTTGCTGCATGGTTTTGATTATTCAAGTTAATAATCCTAATAGATATATATATATATGACTTGATAATAATTTTCCACACACGGCCTCTTTTGAATTGTAATTTTTTGCAGAAAAAGTTTGCTTTCCATAAGTACATTTTTCTATCACCTTTTATCTCATAATCATCAAAATCGTTACAATACTTTTTTTTTTTTAATAAAAACTCCTAAAAAAAGTAATCCAAATGAGCTTTGCCCAGATAATGCATTCACCGCATTGGGATTGATTTAGGGAACTACTATTAAATTAAAGCACATACTATAGTAAAACCTCTATAAATTAAGACCCTTGGAACAATATAAATTCTATTAATTTGAAGAGGTATTAATTAATCGATAAATTACTAATTTATTAATTTATCAAGTACACTTACGATTCTATCTAAGGAATATAAATCAATTAATATCTCCTTGATTCGTATCTATAATGTAATTCTAATTAATATTTTCAGTGTATGTTGTAATTGATACCATTTCCTATTATCAATAGATAAAAAAAAGATTTAGAAATACTAATTGATGGATGTCAACATACAATGAATTAGATTAACAATATTATGTATATAAATGACAATATTTTCGAAACTTTTAGATGCAATAAGAAAAATTAGGAATGAGATTCCGGTAGATTTAAACTATAAGAAAAAACAAGCAACAATAGCCTCATATTTTAGGATAATATGATATGTAATTTTAGTAATTCATTAATTTGTGATATGAATCCGACCAATATGTTATATAAGGTTCTCAAAAAAAGTAGTATCTTATTATTTGACCAAAATTATTAATTTAACTCATTAGCCCAAAATTGGGATCGAAAAATTTTATTATTTAATAGAGGTTATTCATTTATCGAGTACATGGTTTAAGCCTTTGGAAAAAAGAAAAAAAAAACTAAAAGGAACTAATATGACCGCCGAGAAGTTTATTAATTTTTAGGTCCCAAATTGAAGAGCAGGCTTAACATACATGTGGATCTAAAATATTTATCCAAAATGCTTAAATAAAGTCAGTATTTTATTATCTTAAATATCACCAATCTCGTGCGTTATAATTCCCTTGCCTCCTCAGGCGAAAGTAATACGCTTGCAGTTGCACGTCCTGTGTGTGAACATATAACTGTACTTCGTTTGCATCCCTACCTCTAATTATGGTCTATCAAAGCAGAACATGAGAGATTATAAAGAATGAAGATGACATTTTTGGTGGGCTGGCTCTTGCCAACTACTCGTGGTCTCGGTCGCCGCCAGCACCGCCACCTCCCCGTTTGCTACAGCTAGTGGCATTTAGTATTTATTCTAGTACGAGTACCATTTCTTGGGTCCATACTACGTGACAATCGACATGCCCTTTCTTCACCGCAGAAGGCTTCATTTCTTTCCTCCTTTCGCTTTCTTTCTTTCTATCTTTTTATTTTGGTTGAGAAAATGCAGACGGCTGCCGAATGAAGCGACCTTAATTACTGTGAAGGAAAAATGGCCAATTTAGTCCCTAAATTTTTTTTTCCGTCGATTTCGTCCTTAAATATTATTTGTAGCTAATTTAATCCTTAAACTTATATTTCGATTCCAATCAAGGAACTCAGCGGCTGAGCCACCGCACAATTTCCTTCAAGCTCCTAATTGAGCAACCCAAAAGGGGTATTTTAGGAACTTTTATGCTGGGGTTGTAACAAAAATTAAAAAGAAGTGGCATTAAAAAAAAAAGTATACACAAAATGTTGATTACTAAAACAGCAGTAAGAGGAGGAGGAGGAGCACCGACACTATTGCCGTTGCTTCTCCTCCTCCTCCTCATCGTCCCCTTCAACAATGCTGCTGCTGCCGCCTACAATTCCTCCGCTAAGCAGCAGACTCTCCAAACACAATCGGACTCCTACTTCAACCCAAAGCTTGCCCCTAAGTCCCTCTCTGCCTCCAAGAAATTTGAGGGCTTCTCCGACTTGGTTGACATTCGCTACCACATGGGCCTCGTCCTCTCCTCCCCGATCAACATCTACCTCATCTAGTACGGCCGGTGGGCCGCCTCCCACCAGCTCCTCATCAAGGACTTCCTCCTCTCCATCTCCACCTCCGATCGCCACGCCGCTCCCTCCCCCTCCGTTTCCCAGTGGTGGCGCACCGTCTCCCTCTACACTGACCAGACCGGCGCCAACATCTCCAGCTCCGTCCTCGTCGCCGGGGAGTACTCCGAACCCCACTACTCCCAGGGCACCCACCTCACCCGCCTCTCCATGTGGCAGGTCATCGCCGCGGCGGTCCGATCGAAGCCCTTCCCCGTCGACCACAAGAATGGCATCTACCTCATCCTCACCTCCGGGGACGTCACTGTCCAGGACTTCTGCCGGGCCATTTGCGGCTTCCACTACTTCACTTTCCCGTCCGTGGTGGGCTACACGCTGCCGTACTCTTAGGTAGGCAACTCCGGGAAGCAATGCCCGAAGGGGTGCGCGTACCCGTTCGCCGTGCCCGGGTACATAGGGGTAGGCGGGCTGGGAGCACTGGCCCCTCCGAATGCGGATGATAAGCGTGATCGAGCACGAGCTGGCAGAGCTGGCATCGAACCCACTGGTGAACGCGTGGTACGCGGGGGAGGACCCCACGGTGCCAACGGAGATCGGGGACCTGTGCGAGGGGCTGTACAGGACGGGGGGCGGGGGAAGGTATATCAGCGTGGGCGATGAGGAACAGAGAGGAAACGACGTACAACGTGAAGAGGATGAGGGGTCGGAAGTTTTTGGTGCAGTGGATCTGGAGTCCTATTTTGAAGGCTTGTGCCTGTCCGAATGCATTGGACTAGGATTCCCGGAGAGGCGATTCCCCTCTTCTCCTCTCCTGTCATCTAGAATCCTACTACTACTACTACAACTACAGTAGCAGTAACACTTTGCTAGTAGCGGAGGAGTAGTTGTAGCATACTACGACGATAGTACTCCATTATTCTTTTTAAGTCTGTCTGGTAGTCTACATTCATTCATTCTTGTTACAGCCTCACCATTGAAATTCCAAAAATACCCTTTTTGGGTTGCTCAATTAGAAGTTTGAAAGAAATTGTGCGGTGGCTCCGCCGCTAAGTTCCTGGATTGGAACCAAAATATAAGTTTAAGGATCAAATTGGCTACAAATAATATATAAAGACGAAATCGACGGAAAAAAAAAATTTAGGGATTAAATTGACCATTTTCCCTTACTATGAATAAGTAGTACTAGTGTATTATTCAAGGACAAGAACTGGCATGTGTTTCCACGTAACTCATGCATTTACTTGGATACCGATTGAGTTGACTTGCCCACTGCCCTTGCTCCCTCCGCTCCACTGATTACGACTTCGCAGTTTGCATCTTTCTCTGATTAACCCTTTGTTTCATTTTGCCCCTCGGGATCGGCTCGGATGGTGATGGGGTTGTCTCATTAGGTTCTACACCGTGTGGTGAGAGTTCGATTCCTTCTACTATCTTGGGAGGCGGGTGCACAAGCGTAGGAAGATTAGTTCGAAAGGGATACTCTTTGTATTGACAAAAAAAAAAAAACCCTTTGTTTCATTTTCAACATAATTTAGTTCTTCTCTATAATGCTATAAAAAATGTGGGCATCCCACTATAGGAGATTCCAACATAGGCAGAGCTGTTCATATATCCCCGTCTTGCTTTTCTCATACGGAGCTCCCTCGGTCTGGAATTCCATTTTGGTGCTCCATCTTCTACGGAAAAATCCCTTCTGCTCAGACGAGGGGATGACTGATGAGTGTCAATTTTATACATGACGAATGTTTATGAACTCAAAATCTTTACCATGTTTGTTTCAAGTGTAGACCATTATTACATGCTAACAACAATCGGAAACCACCTTTTTTTTTCCTTTCTTAAAAATAGGCCTTTTTCTTGTAGAGGTAGTCCTTTTTCTAATTAGTTCTTCTCGTTACGTGTTATGGATTTTGTGGAAAGATTTCGTTTGAGGATTAAGAAATTCATTTGTTTTTCTGGATAATAGAATTCTGATGAAATGTTGTTTTTGGTCCCGGAAGTTGAATATTAAAATTTGAAAGAACGTAATAAAAGCATAAGATTGAATTAAAACAATAACCTAATAATTTGGCAAACCAGCAGATCGCATTAGTCATTATGATGAAACGCCATTGCTTGCGAGTTCGATAGGCTCCACCCGGCCCAAGACGTCCAACTTCAACTCTGATTTCAAGTATGGGCCAATCCACTCCACTTCAATCTCTAAGTAACGCGACACATTTCAGGAGCTTATACGGGCTCTTTGCGAGCTTTCTGTCCAATTGAACCTAGCCTCACAGAATGATCTCACCACAATAAGAAAAACCAAGATTGGGTCGGGGTGGTAGTTTCATGGTGTGCTTTAATTTTCTACTTTAGTTTTTTTTTTTTTTAGTGAAGAAATGAATCTTTAATTGCTAGTTTGGGAGATTAGGAGGGAACAGAGGAAAAACATAAAAGATGAAAAAAGGAGGGAATAGCTTTTGATATTGTTTGGTTGTTTAAGAAGGAATTTGAATTATTTTAGATATAGGATTTATCCTTATACACTGACAGTATATACATCACTGCTATATGGATAATAATTAATTTGAATTTCAAATTCTATATATTTATATGCATTTAACCGAGATAGCGTATATATTATCAGCATATTTTGTTCAAATCAATCCAAAAATTGTCAAAACATCTTTACCACAGGGTAGTATAAAAAGCATATCTATCCAAATATTATAATCAAATTATTTCAATAAGTACATAGGTTATTTATAATATACCAAAAAAAAGAGTTATGGTTCCTCATACAAGGTAACAAATAGCATAGCACGATCATAAACAAATTATGCAAAAATTTATAATGCTCAATAATAGATTTTAAGGTAATTAAGTCAATTAAGTCAATTTTATACATAATAGTGTTTGGATAGCACAAATATTTCAAATAATATTTCGCTTCCATCATAAACACATTTTCCAACCCACCTTTTTATATTTTCAATTATCTTTTTATCTCACATACATCACATCACAAAAAGTGCTACAGTTATTATTCTAAATAATATTCCAAATAATAATCTACCCAAATACTAAAAATGGTATGGACATTCCATTTCGAGATCAGACATTATTGAAATGACTTTTTTTCCCTATCATCATGAGCATTTCGATGTACCAAACGAGATGGAAGAGTATTCTCCTAACTCCCGATGTACCAAACAAGGCATAATAGTTCTCGAATTCCACGCGTACTTTTTTATTAAAAAAAACCACAACAGTGTTTTTTTTTTTTTTTTATAACACCAGAACGACAAACATGTTTGAAACAAATTAACATGAAAAAGAGTAGGCTAAAAAAAAAGAAAAAAAGAAAATGATGCCTCTAGAATATACTGTTAATCAATACCGAGTGTAACCAGAAATATACGACTCAAACAGAAATAGAAAAAAGAAAAGATTTTTCCCTCGAATAAATACTGGACTACTGGGTAATTTGTGGCCCCCCACCACCCCAAAAAAAAAAAGAAGAGAAAAAATCCAAATCAGCTCCGCTCCGTTGCCAACTCAGTGCATCTGCATACCAGCCGTTATGCACATCACAGGCTTTTTTGACGCTGTCGGCCATCTTCCTTCTTTCTTCTCTTCCCAATTCTCTTGTAAGTTGTTTCATTTTTTTTTTTTAATAATAAAAGACAAAGACTAATTGGAATTCTTGCTCTCTTTCCTCTCTCTCCATATGTCTTCATCCATATGTTTCGATCACATTGTCGTAACTTTTATTTAGCTATCTTTTGATCTACGCGGATCCGGGATTCGCAGCATATCGGGATCGGGTACTCCCAAATCCCCATCATCGGAGAGGAAGGAGATCGGATACGGCCGTCCAAATTGATCCCTAATGGCGGCATCCCGGCGCCTCAGAGAGCTCCAATCGCAGCTTGGCAACAAGATCTGCGTCGACTGTTCCCAGAAAAATCCGCAGTGGGCTTCAGTCTCCTACGGCGTCTTTATGTGCTTGGAGTGCTCCGGGAAGCACCGGGGCCTCGGCGTCCACATCTCCTTCGTCCGATCCGTTACCATGGATTCCTGGTCCGAGATCCAACTCCGCAAAATGGAGCTCGGCGGCAACGACAATTTCAATAATTTTATTTCCCAGTATGGGATCCCTAAACAAACCGATATCGTCACCAAATACAATACCAAAGCCGCCTCTGTTTATAGGGACAGGATCCAAGCCCTCGCCGAGGGCAAACCTTGGAGGGATCCTCCTCCCTTCAAGGAAACCCTCAGCGGGGGCCCCACCAGTAAGCCGCCGCTGTCTAGTGCTGGGGCATCTGGGGGTAGTCGGACTGCAGCCTCTTCGGGGTGGGATAGCTGGGATAATTATGACGATGGCGGGTTTAGTAGTAGCAACACTAGTAATAATATCAGGAGAAATCAGACGGTGGGGGATTTTAGGAGTGGTGGTGGCACCGGTAGCACTCCTGCTCGATCGAAGTCCACTCAGGATATTTATTCCCGGGCGCAGCTGGAGGCTTCGGCTGCCAATAAAGAAAGCTTTTTTGCGGGGAAGATGTCGGAAAATGAGTCGAGGCCTGAGGGGATTCCGCCCTCCCAAGGGGGAAAGTACGTCGGATTCGGGTCCAGCCCTGCTCCCATTCCCAGGAATAATTCTCAGGGAGATGTTTTCTCTACTGTTGCTCAGGTACACTTTTTCTGATGTGTGGGTCCACAATTACAATAGCGTTTCTTCTAGGTTATTGATGCCAATCAGCCTGTGTGGCATATAGCTGATGAAAATGTGATCGTGGTTTAAACAGGGATTCGGCAAGTTATCGCTGGTGGCTGCTTCAGCAGCACAGTCGGCAGCTAATGTCGTTCAGGCAGGTGCTACAGAGTTCTCTTCGAAGGTACTGTTATGGCTATCCATATTGCTTGAGTGGTCAGTGATTTACTCATCTTAAAGTGCCTGTAGATGGTGTGAAGAGCAATGACAGTATAGTTATAGCAAAGTCTTGCTTTGCTGTTGCTTAGGTGTTGAATGATAATTGTTGTTAGCACTTGAACGTTGTAGCATAGGTTTAGCAGTTGTATTTAATTCTGCTACTTAAGAATTTGAAGTGATTCTTTCTTATGGAATAGGTCTATAAGGTTAGGCTGATGCACTACATGTCTAAAGTGGGTTTCTGAATGGTATACAGATTACGTTGGATTTGTTATAGAATGATGGGCCTCAGGTTCTAATCTTTAATTCATGAAGGATACTTCTATCTTTATTTTTCATCTGTTCTGCTTATTTCCTTTATTTGCATCTTGCCCATGATGTAAGTGATGTTCACCCTAGATCAGTTTTTCCATGTACCATATTTTTGAAGAAATGTCTTCTAGTGGAAATTATTTTCCTCTCAAACCAAAGAAATCCATTTTTATGTGGGCAGATTGGATATTACTCAGGGACAGTCTAAAAAGCAGTAGTGCATTCATTTTAGGATGTAGGTAGATGTGTAAATAAAGATTTTATGAATACATATCATGCCAATACCAGTAATGATCCTTAATATGCCCAAATGCCCCATATGCAGTTAAGATTTGGCAACAAGCTTGTGAACTCTTGACTAAGTAAAATGAGTGATGTGTGATGACTGCATTTAGAAAAGGAATAATTTCACATACCTCCCCTGAGGTTTTCGGTATTTGCGGGAAGCTCCCCTCTAGATCTAAAAATTACACCTAACTCCCCTATTTTCACTGTTTAAGTAACATTGTAGGCCCAAAAGACTAGGCTTTTTCTGAAAAATCCTAAAATACCCTTGGGATATAATTCACAGCAAAAATAAAGAAGGAAAAAATGGTTCATTATCTCTATTTCATTCATCCTTGCTTGCTTTTACCAGTGCCCATCTACATCCAATTTATCACTAAATAAACACTCGCCTTTGCTCCAAAGTCCCTCTTTTGTCTAAAGCCTACCAGTGTAAACCATTGAATCAACTAAAAATGCAGTATCATATACCTAAAAACTTACCTACGATCTCATATCAACCTCATATATCCCTAAACTCCACTTTCATGATTGCCACCTTTCTAATACAAAATAGTGCAAGTCATCACCCTAACACGAACACCCAATATACTCCAGCACCGAGTTTCAAGTTAGTAAAATTCTATCTTTGTAGGACCATCACCAATAATTGCAAATAAACACAATGTAGTTATAGATATACCAGGAACATATTTTCCCATAACAACCATACTAGTATAATCTTTATTTAGTCCCTCTTCCATTTCCGACCCATAATTTTTTAATTTTTTACCACTATCTTCATTTCTTGATTTCCATCTAGTTTGACAACGAAATCATCACTCAACTTGTTGTTTGACAATTTCAATTTGCTAATACCTACTAAAAATTGAAAACAAAAATGGGTGCAAAGAAGCTCTTTATTAGTATTGAAAGAGAGAGAATTGGGAATAGACACCCTGATGCGTAAGCACTAGTGGCTGGCATGCATGGTGATTTTGCTAGTGGTGGCAATACACATTTGGTAAATGGGAATAGATAAATGAGTTTGGAAGAAATGAAGATGTAGGATGGATACGATAGAGAGTTAAATGTGGAAGGCTATAGTTTGAGTCATTACTTGACAATAGATGAGAGGAGCCGAATGAAATTGTCAGAAACCTCAAGGGAGGTTTCTGAAATTATCCTTTTAGAAAAGCTAATGTAGCCCTAGCAGCTAAAAAAAGAAGTAGCTGAAGATGCGTTGAGCTCTTTTCTGAATTTAATTTTCCAAAAGAAAGGCCTTAAATTCTTAACCTCCCATGAGCAAACAAACCTTCATGTAATATTGGCAATAGCTGCTTCAGCTGTAGGGGGGTTTGTGTTATTAGAGTTAACATTGAAGAGTCTGATCTTGTATTAGACCACTAGAAAATTTAAGGCTATGAAGTTAGGCACCTGAGTTTTTGCATTTACTAGTTCTAACAATCCATATCTGTCAGTTTTTTAAGTTGTTAATGCAGTGTTGTGATTCCTTAGTGGTTGGTTTGACTGAAAATTTAAGCAATTTGCATTACGATCTTCTTGCAGGTGAAAGAGGGGGGCTATGACTACAAGGTGAATGAAACTGTCAATGTTGTAGCTGCTAAGACGACAGAGATAGGACATAAGACATGGGGTATCATGAAAGGTGTCATGGCTTTGGCATCACAAAAGGTTGAGGAGTATGCAAAGGAAGGTGGTGTTAGCTGGAAGAATGATGGCTGGCAAAGGAGTGAAAGTGAGACAAATGGTTATTATCAGGAGTTTGGACAGGATTCGAAAGGATGGAATTCTCCTGCTGCTGGGCAGCCCTCATCTGGTCGGCAGTTTAATTCTGTCAGTTCTGGGTCCTGGGATGATTGGGATAGTAAAGACAATAGGAAAGAAGAATCAAGTAAAGGGACAGCATCTCATAATGGGGATAGCTGGGCAGGCTGGGATGATAACAAAGATGATGGATTTGATAACTTCTACCAGAGTGCATCTGATAGCAAGGCTGTCGGTTATAATGGAAAATCAGATGCTAAGTGGACGGAAGGAGGTTTTCTCTAAGGTTAGTGATTGGCATTCCGAATGCTTATTCAAAATGCACCCGTTCGATTTTTTGGTTCTTCCAATTCAATTCAACGACATAACTTGTTGGAACGATCTGTCTGTTAGAAATAGTCTATATATGTAAAATTGCCAACTCAATTGGCTAATTGCCCACAATGGACAAAGTATTGACTCCATAATTTGTGTTTTTGAGGACTGATAATTGTTTCTTATAACCTAGATTTGCATTTGGATTTGTAAACGACTTTTTTTTTTAAATGTCTACTTGGTATACTCGAACTTTTCTGCAATTACTATGACCCTAGTCATTGTTAACTGTGCTTTATTTACAGATATGTATCTCTGTAGAGCAATTTTGATATTTCTTTTGTCAAATTCAGAAATTTCCAGCTGTTGTTGCTTGCACACGTCAGATTGTACGAGAAGTTATTGCTGTTTTCAATTATTTGGTATGCTCGCTCGAGTGATTCTGGACTTGGGCTCATTCGTGTCCAACTTTGAAGAGGCTGAACTGAGTACGCGCTACTGCAGCCAAGTCTATTAGAAGGAAATGGAACTCTTTTGTCAAGAAAATAGCTGATCGTTTTTATATCATCCCATGATAAGATCAATGGATAAGTTGGACTTTTAGTTTCATTTGTCCCACTAGCGAGTGTGCATTTCATTTGGCAAACACAGAATTTAGATTTCTCGGCGTCTTCTGAAATTTAGATTATATATATATATATATATATATATTCATGGAGAATGATTGCAGCAGAAACCTATATATCAATATAGTGAAAAAAAAAAAAAAAAAAACGTGCAGCTACATTGGCTGGTATGAAGTTGTAGTTGCAAATGCAGATCAACATACATAGTAGTTGTTTTAGAACTAATGAAAGAGTTCCACGCGAACATGCAAAGGTCCTACTTAACTTGATTTCACAGGCCTTACTTAATTTCATTTAACGTGTTCGCTGAGCATGTTAATTAGCAAATAGGGTATACATGTGTATGTCATCTTGCATTTTAGGCACATAGGCATCTTGTAAAGATAATATTTTTTTAATAAACAAAATACTTTGACTCTTTTCTAGAGGTGTTAAAATGGGTGACTCAGGTGGGTTTGAATTGGTAAAATGGGTAATGAGTATAAGTGAGTTAACTTATTTATAACTATTTAATTAGATGGATATAAATGGATAAGTCAAAAAAAAAATTGGGTAATCCAATTATCCATTTATAGTCCATTTATTTTAACTTTTTTGTAAATTCATTTAAATTCATCGTTGCAAACTAAGTTATCAATTTATACTATCCTTTACATTCATCATTAGTTTTAAATATTTACTTATAATACACAATAAACTTAATTACCAAAATTTTCTTATCCGTACTCTATGTCGTAAAATTACATACTATTTAATAATAGAACAATAAGAGTATAAAAATTTGAACTGAGTATTATAAAAGTTAACATAAAAAATTAGTTCAAAAATTTTGAACCCCTAACATTTTTTTCATATGTAAATTTAAAATTTCATTATGGAAAGGTAAGAAAAGAGGCTAAAACTTGTCATAAATTGATCATATTGAAACATGAGTAAGTTAACAAATGAAGAGAAAATAAAATAATAAGATAAAATCAATAAATAATAATAATAATGAAACAAAAGTAATCAATATCATGATAAAATGAACAGTTTAAAAAAAAATGGGTAAGGGAAGAGAGGAGGTTTGGGAAAAGATAATTTTAAATGGGTTAATTGGGTTTGATGGATATTATTGATTAACCCATTTATACGTATATGTAAAAACTTAATATACCCATATTCATCTATTCATGGGCGGGTATAAATAAATTTAGTTAAATGGGTTTATTTGCCACCTATACTCTTCACCTCCAATTATATAAATATTATGCTTTCTTTCCAGTTAGTCATAAAATAATGGAAAAAAGGTATTCAGTTAAGGATTTTGGTTGATTGCCCTTAAAAATTGCTTATTTCACTTTGGTCTTTACTTTATAAGAGCCTAAGAGGGAATGAATTAAAAAAGAAAAAAGTTTTCACATATATTAGAGGGGACAGCATATGGACAAGCGACGATGTAGGTTATGGGCCCGAGGTGACTGTTAAGTCGAACAAACGAAAACAAAGAACGTTACCAATTGGCATCGCCCGGACTCGAAACGGAGACCTTCAGTGTGTTAGACTGACTGATAACCAACTACACCACTTCTTATTGTTTTCTTATTGTTGTGTTCTTGAGGTGCCATTTTATTTGGATAGAGTATTATTTAAAATAATTATTATAACATTTTTTGTGATGTAATGTATGTGAGATAAAAAAATAATTGAAAATATAAAATGTGAATTAAAAATTATATTTGTAATGCAAGCAAAATATTATTTGGAATAGAGTCACCATCCAAACAAACCCATCTGGACTGTGCCGGCCTTCCACAGCCCTACCTTGGAAATGAACAGAAGATTCCTGTTCCAGTTCCAGTTCCACCCACCCGAACGCACGAATTCTGGGCCCAAAACATGTGAACAGGAGCTATTTTCTGAAGTCGGCGACTTGAAAAGGTGTGCTGTTCACTATGATAAGAGTCGCAAATCAAAGGTATCGTCACCAAGGAACTTTTGGCTTGAAATGCAGTCTTTCCTGGAATATACTCTTCTGCTTCTCGCAGGGAAAAGCAGAGGTGATTTGTTCCCATGGAAAAGATACAGAGGCAGCAATTAGACATAAAAATCGTGTTGAACTAGATGGAGAGCCTATGAAAGTTGAGATTGTTGGTTGGAATGCAGCTGCTCCTTCCATTTTTTATCTGCCTACTAATGTGCAGAAGACTCAAAACATTGCTCCCTGAAAATTAGCAGTTAGCCTTTCAATGCTCTTCATGAAGAAAACCCTTCTGTGATTGTGGCGCTGAAATTGGGTCATTATTCTTTGAATGTGTTTCGTGGTATTTGCTTGCACTTAAGTCACTCCAAAAGGAAATGTCTTGTTAGATGCCAAATAATCGTCCTCCGGAAGAACACCGCACATCAAAATCAGTCCTATTTCTCTTTTTTTTTTTTTTTTTCTGAACATTAATCTTCTCTTTTAACACAGCAAATTAATCAAGTGGAGATATCCTACTAGATGATAGCATCAGACGTAAAATAAACCACATAACCACAAAGGAGAAATTGAAGGGAAGAGCCAGTTCAGGAATCCCTCTTAAAACAGTTTTGAAAAAATTAACATTTTTTAACATCCGTAATTCCCAACCCTAACCCTAAAAGTCTTACCCAGTGACCCAACCCGCCTATTTCGAAAAGATATACCACTACCACATGATGATCAATTTTCGCAACAGCGCGCTAAAACCAAACCAACTACAATCATTCCCTAACCCCCTCTCTTTCTTCAGCCGCCAAAGCCGTAGAGAGTACGTCCCTGCCTCTTCAAGGCGTAGACAACGTCCATGGCGGTTACAGTCTTGCGACGGGCATGCTCTGTGTAAGTGACGGCGTCACGAATCACGTTCTCCAAGAAGATCTTGAGGACTCCGCGAGTCTCCTCGTAGATGAGACCACTGATACGCTTGACTCCACCCCTCCGAGCCAAACGCCGTATCGCCGGCTTCGTGATGCCCTGGATGTTATCCCTCAGGACCTTACGGTGCCGTTTCGCACCTCCCTTGCCCAATCCCTTGCCTCCCTTTCCTCTTCCCGACATTTGAAATCGAAACGGATGCAGATACTACCACTAATCTAGTCGATTAAGAAGGAATAAGCCAAATAAGAGAGAATTCCGATTACATTGGAGGCTTGTGTTTGCAAACTTATATAGGGGAGCCTTTGTGGAGCGGAGAGGAGGAGGACCGTTGGGTTTCAAATGTTAATCCACGGCTGAAATTCGCGATCCGGAACGAATAGATTAGATGATTTTGAGACGTCGATAAGGCTCAAATTGACGGTTAATAATCCATGATTCTGGATGACGCGGATCGTGGCTTTTTTTATGTTTTTTAATTTTTCCTGTAAACGGTAGAGACGCGCGCACACAAATTAGAAACACGGGCAAGTTAACTCAATTCATGTTTTTTAATTGAGGGTGATCTTGGTAAATTGGGGTGGTCCGGGCTATTGCGTGATTTTCAAAATTTGAAATTTCATCAGAGAATTTCGAATTTAGCGGCGGAGCAATTTTCATCTTCTGGGAGCCTTGGACATCATAGCCACAGGTGGCAAACAGTCCTATAGGCCCAAATTCAGCCCATCGTTGCTGATTTTATTGAGCCCGAATGTTACAACACCACTAATCAGAAAAAGGGCCTACCCTTCAACATTTTTGGTTTCTTTCTTGAGCAAAATTTATTTATTTTATTTCAATTGCAGCATTTTTTTTTTTTTTTGGAAGGGAAAAGATAGCACAGCATTCCTTAATAATTTCCAAGGATGTAGGATAGATACAAACACTACACTGCTGGCAACAGGAATGCCACCGCATGCATCTACAGTGATTAGGTCCACAAAAAAAAAAAAAAAGGCAAAAGAGGGTGTTGAAAAAAGAAAACCTTATGTGTCATTGCTAAAGAAAAAAGGAAAACAATAGAGTATCATGTTGACATCGCTAACAGATTGCTGCTTATGTTGGCCCACACCTGTTAATAATGACATGAAAATCTCATACCTTTCGCCATCACTGGCCAATAAGAGCGCGCTATTATGAACAGTCACCGCAGTTGCCTTTTCTTTCTTTGAGGTTCAGACCTACTCCCTTAACAAAAGAAAAGCTTCCATGTGAATGACAGTCAATATATAATCTCCAGGTCAATTACAGTGGTCACAATTAACTAATAAGGTTAAATAAAAAAAAAAGTCCAATAAACCACGGCTCTCAACAGTAGAATGTAAATGTCGAAGTAAAGATTCTACCATAAGATTAAAAAATGAAAAATTAATGATGACATGATGCAGTTCACAATGGAATTGTGCACATAATTTTCGCCTTCCAGATTCATTCTATCTCCTTTTCTCTGTTCACTTTATTGTCTATTACAAGTCTTGATATGCAAAGACACCACACAGAAAACATAAAATTCAAATAAATTGGGCATAAATTTTTCTACCCTTTGATTAGTGACAGCACACAAGGCACATTCAGATTACATTAGTTCCAAGGTCTAGCAGAATCTATCAAATTGTCTTCGCCTCATAGAGCAACACACCTTTAGTATGCTGGTTGAGTTGCGGGTCCTTGATTCCCATAATTCGACGATCCTGAAAAAAAAAAAAAAAAAAAATCAAATTATACTGACGTTAACAAAAAAGGGTGCAGAAATAAATCGGAGATGCTTGAGCTGAAAGTGAAGGTATCTTGTAGTAACCAACTAAAAAGCAAGTTCAGAAGACATGAAAAATCTGCTTAACAAAGGAATTCAGATGAAAACTCCTTACCCTATATTAATTTCCCAGCAGCTATTAAAGATATGTTGGCTAGCGTATGAATGCATTAATTGTATTATTTTTTCACGCCATTTTTTTTACAACACGAAGATTTTAGCCAGAAAAGAAGTTGATAAAATAAACCAGATACGTTAGATGTTCAGCATGTACCCAGACTATCCAATCAGCAGAAAAATGTAGCCAGAGCATCCCGAGTATCTTCCAAAAACATAAAAACAAATAGAACTCGTACGAAGCGATTCCTTCATTTAACCTGAAGCAACGTATCATAGCCCACAA